ATAAATAAATAAATAAATAAATAAATAAATAATAAAAACCAACAGTGGGCCAGGGATTTAGCTCAGTGGTTCTGCCGCCTGCCTTGCAAGCAGAAGGTCCTGAGTTCAATCCCCAGTACCAAAAAAAACCCAATAGTGACAAATTGGCCCGGGGTCATGTCTTATAAGCACAACATGCAAAAATGTTCCAATGTATTTTGCTTTTCAAAGCATTCTTATGAGTTATTTCTGTAAACAATATAAATTTGTCACTAATAAAACTCTTACTGTTCAGAGTTAGAGACCAAATATAGAATATAGCTAAACAAGAAAATCAGATTTCAATTAACAGACCTCAACTTTAATAAGAAGCAAAGGAAAATTTTGATTAGTCTTGATTTAAACAGTAATCATTTAAATTATCAACATGTCTCTGTAAATCAGTGGAACACAGTAGAGGGTGCAGAAATAACCCCAGGCACATTTAGCCATTTGATTTTTGACAAAGGGGCAAAAACCATGCTGGAGGAAGGAGAGACTCCTTAGCAGAGGTTGCTGGGAAAACTGGCTATCCACATGCAGAAGACTGAAACTAGACCCAAACCTCTTGCCACGTACTAAAATAGAACCAAAATGGACCAAAGACCTCAATATCAAAACAGAAACAATCTGTTGGAAGATAAGCAAAGCTCTTGAAGACATTAAGCATAGGTAAATATTTTTTGAAGAGAACTCCAACTACACAGGAAATAATATCAAAGCTGGACAAGGGGGTACATGCCTGTAATCCAGCATTTGGGAGGCTGAGGCAGGAGAATCACCATGATTTCGAGGCCAGCCTGGACTCCATAGTGAATTCAAGGACAGTCTGACCTATATACTGAGACCTTGTCTCCAAAAATTAAAAAAAAAAAAAAATCAAGAATCAACAGGTAGGATTACACCAAAATAAAAAAGCTTCTGTAGCAAAGAAAATAACCAAGAGTGGACAGGTAAACTATAGAACGAGAAAATTTTTTGCCAGCCACTCCTCAGACAAAGAACTAATATCTAGAATATATAAAGAACTCAAAAAAATTAGATTCCCCCAAAAAAATTTAAAAATGGACAACTGAAATGAATGCACACTTCTCAGAAGTACAAATGGTCAATAAATATGTGGAAAAAAGTTCCACTGCTCATGAGAAAATGCAAACTAAAACAACGATGAGATTCCATCTTATCCTAAAAAGAATGGTCATTATCAAGAAATCAAAACTAAATGCTGGCGAGGCTGTGGGGGGAAAAGGAACCCTTCAACATTGTTGACAGGAATGAAAACTAGTCTAACCACTATGGAAATCAGTATGGAAATTCCTCAAAAGCCTAAAACTAGAAATTTCATTCAACTCAGCTATTCTCCTTCTAAGTATCTCCCCAAAAGACTTAAAGACATCATATTACAGTGATATATGCACATCCTTGTTTACAGAAGCACAATTCAAAATAGCTATATCTTGGAAGCAGCCTATATGTCCATTAACAGATGAATAAAGAAAATGTGGTGTTTGTACACTAGGGAATACTACTTACCCATAAAAAGCCAGGAATTTTGAATCATTTGTAGGAAAATGAATATACCTGAGACCATAATGTTAAGTGAAATACAGTGGTACCTCGGTTCACAAACTTAATTCTTTCCATGACTCTGGTTACAAACCAAATCAAATTTTCCCATAAGGTCAACATTGAACCTAATCACTGAATATGATCCGGTTCTTGTCCAATTCGCTTTGTGACCAGAATTATGGAAAGAATCAAGTTTGTGAACTGAAGTACCACTATAAATCAGACACATAAGTACAAATAACTCATGGCTTCTCTTATATGAGAAACTCAACAGTATAATTTCAAAAGCAAAATAGGAGACATATATTATAAAATTGGGAGGTAGATCCTCTGCAAATGGGAAGGGGGACTCAGATATGGAGGGAGGGGGAGAGAGGGAAGGGCAAGGGGAAGAAAAAGCATTTAAGATATGAACATGTACCAACCCCCCATGATGAATGCAGTTGTTATATACAGCAAACATGTACTAGTAAGCACAAAAATAATGACCGGCATGTCTCAACCTAAGTGTGAATCACCAATAAATTAAATCATTACCTACAGTAATTCTTACAAGCACATCTCTGAAATCATCAGTAAGTACTTAGTTCTGACAAGACCAATAGGATCCATCCAAATAACTGCATAAGTACATGTAACTCCAAGTCTGAGAGTTAAGCACATTCTTTGTTTAAGACATCTTACAAGGGCATTTCAAATAAGATTAAAAGTAGGGAAGAAATAAAAAAGCAAACATACAACAAACAAATGAAACCGGGTAACATGTATGTGTTCTATGCTGTCACAACATTCATGTGGCCAGGAAGAGTGGAAGACATGATAACTGTAAGATGCTCCAGTGACTAGCAGATTAATACAAACCGACTGCTCAGCAGAGACACAATTAACTCTGACAGTCAAAGAGTCCTCATCAAAAAGGCAGTATATAACATAATAAATGGTGTCTTTACCAAGGAGTTGTCAAAACTAAATAAATCATCCAGAGATTGTGTTGTTTTTTGGGCTACTGAAGATTGAATCCAGGGCTTTAGCACTGAGCCATGTCCCTAGCCAATTTGTAAGTTTAATTTTTTTTTTAATGCAGGATCTTGCTAAGTCACTATGTTGCCCAGGCCGGATTTGAACTTGTTCTGATCATATTAAACAGATAGAAATATGTATCTTAGACAAAACTCTACAATTAGTAATAAAAGATGACCATAAGCTGCACGAGGGGGAAGCTACGTTCTATACTTCTTGTTATAGTAAAACCTTGGCTGTCAGAACACCAGCTGTTTATCATCACAAAATAAACACAATGTCTCCAGTAGAAGGCAAACAAATCAAAACAAATTTGAGAGTGAAAAGCTGCTACTAGACTCACGACAATGTGATGAGTCAACTCAGGATCTAAAATACTGAGCAGTTGCACTATTTGCGATTACCCTGCCAACCAGAGAGAAGAAGCGTCCTGATTGGCTGCTCAGGAACCTAAAAGTCAGTCTTTGTACATGAAAACCAAGAAGCATGAGAGAAGCAGTTTGATATAAAAAGAAAAGAAAGTAAGGAGGAAAGCATTTTTTTTAAAGGAAACTTTCCAAAGAGAGGAAATATTAGAAGTCATGGAAAGGGAGGTGAAGCTGCCAAGGTAAAGACAGTGGCAGCAGCCACCAGGGCACAACAGTAGACCTTACAGGGCTCAGACAGCATCTGATGCCTAGAAAAGAACCAGTAACAGAGAAGTTGGAGCAGCAGCTCTGTGGGCCCAAGCCTTCGCGTTGGAAAATACAGAGGAAATGTCTATGTGCAATAAAGAAGTGCCTACTCCTCAAGGCTCCCCAAAGCCGCAGCCCTCAGGTATAGTCATAGCAACAAATACTGCTTGGTAAGCTTGGGAAATGCTAGTTGCCCTCTAGAGTTCCTTCTTAGAGACTCATAATGTCCTTGAACTATCTAAAGGCCCAACAAGGTTCTGGAAAAAACATTCAATAAGGAGCCTCAACTCCTAGTTCTGTTAAAGCTCTAGTTTCCTAGGATCTTTGACCAAGGAACACTAATTAACATGAACAGTTTGGAACTGTCCTAAGTCTATCAGTGGGTAGTACTAGAGGAAGACCACTAAGTACCCTTCAGTATTTAGAAAAGCCACAATACACTCAATGGGGACCATAATGCACAGTAACAAACTGAATCCCACTTGGAATACTTGGTTTCTGAGCCAAAACTGGGACACAATACTTTTCACCCTCTTTTTTGCTCCCTATTTATAAGCTTATGTCTATGAAAAAGTAGTGGGTAAGCTATAGCTCTGACTTTAGCCTATTTAGGTATAAAACCTTACTGTACCACTTATCAGGGTGTGGGACCTCAGTAAATTATTTAATCTCTTTAAGTCTCAGGCCCCATCTACAAGATAACAGTGACAAGTTTTAGGAATCGCACTGGCCTGGTTCTCTCGTGCTCCTACATGGCCTGCTGGGAATGCCAAGAATGCGAGCTTCTAGCTACTCTGTGCAGGCCAGTTTTCAAGTTCTGTTCACAGGAAGCAATTCTGAAGGAAGAAATAACACGTCCCTCTGGGACAAAGCAGATTTGCTTATTACCAGGGTCTGCGCTCCTCTCCTCTCCTGTAAGGAATTCTACTCGTGTCAGCACACAACTAGGCTTGCATCACTTCTGTGGCAACTGGGGCTCAGGAACTGATGCAAGCAGGCTGAAGCTCTGGGAGCTGCATTTCCTGTGGGTAAAATGAGTCTTTTTGTCTGACTTCTACAACCATCTGTAAAACTATGGCAACTCAGCTTGTACATAGGGGACAGCCTCAGACCCTTCAGAGTTTCTGACAAACAGTACTTGTCTTGCAAGCCTTTCAAGAAAGTTTAATACTATAAAGCAAGTAATATGCTAACCATAGTGTATGGCACCTAGTATGTCTTCACCCAGCATCAGCTATGTAGCACTCTTATGAAAAGTATTATGAAGGAATAAAAATTAGAGGTTGACATTTAATGAATCCCCTTTACTATGAAGAATAAAATCTCAAGAAGCTATTAAATTTCCTTCAATTAAAAAAAAAACATTAGTAATGTTTCACCTTTCCACAAGCATAACAAGGCTAGAGGAAGGCATCGGCCTGAAGCACTGTGTGTCAAAATAGACGTGTCAGTCTCTACGTACCAGTTCTTTTGCCTCTTCAAGCTGTTTCTCCACATTTGCAACCATTTGTTTCTTCTCATCTGAAACAAACAATATCAAGGAATTGCTAAGGATACAAGTCAACTTAATATTTTTAAACGTCAATTTTTAAATGCACTTCTCCTTTCTGATCCATCAGCTTAGAGAATATAAGGCAAAATGAACATATCATTCTTCGGTAGGTTAGAAACCACATTAAGCCATTAAATCTAGGACATCTAGAAATAAATAATCCTATGTTGTACCTAAATGTAAAGAGATGCCATATATTTTAAGAAAGGCTGAAAATGATTTTGTTTTTAGGAGAGAATATTTCAACACTAGTGGGTTTAATGGTGGCCTGAGGAATTTCCAAAGTCATAACTAATAAACTGGGAAACATTGATTTTCAAATGTAATTTTTAATCTTATATAAAAAACACTTCCGAAAACAGATAAGGTCTTACGATCCTTTAAAGATTTTATTTTCAGTAACATTAAGAATAAGGCATAACAGGGCCAGGGATTTAGCTTAGTGGTACTGCCACCCACCTTGCAAGCACAAGGTCCTGAGTTCTATCTCTGGTACCAAAAAAGGAAAAAAAAAGAATAAGGTATAACCGAAGAAATATTTGAAGTCTGGACTACTGATTTCAAACCCAAAGCCACAGTTAGAGTCGCCATCTTTAGGAAGAAAGCTGAGAAAGAGATGAGTTTCTGGTTCCAAATAACTGCAGCAGGTTTTACTTGACTTTGTCATAGTTTGGTTTCTTGTGCCAACAAATTTCTTTTTCTAGATAATGGTCTAGAAAAGTCACAAAGCTCAGAATGGGCACACCTACTAGCTGGCAAGTTCTTCAGAAAGAGAATCAATCCTAAGTGGGACTATTTAGTAAGAATTATTATTCCATTACATTAACATTAGATTCTGCTCACTCAAATTCCTTCCCTCCAACCTGTGGGGAGCAGCGGGGCTGATGCACAAAGTGTTTCGAATATACTCTAAATTTCTCCCAAACTCCAAACACACATTTGGAATAGAATCAGCTTGATTTTCCCCTCCATGAATAAGGTAAACCCACATAAGGCCAGATTCAAATTTCAATTTATGACTCCAAATATATATGCTTCTGGCACATCGTAATCTCTCTAAAATCTCCACAGAGCTATAGAAGAGCATGGTATCTTTGTGATAGAATAGAATTCAAATTAAGACAACCCGTCTTGAATGAGAGTGAAATCACATATTTACATATCAGAAGGAACATCATGTTTTGTTTAAGGCATTCCATTGTTAGGAAGGTCAGTATCAGGGACCTCCAGGACCAATGTGCATCAGTTTTCTCCTTAACAAAATAAAACCAAAAGGCCACCTTTGACGTGTTTTCCCCTTTGCCACTAACATCTCTCTCCTTCATCCACAGCCAATCTTCTTGAAAGGAAGGGTCGACCATTTCCCTTTCTCCTCTCCCCTTATACGTCCCATCCCGTCAGTCAGCCATCCTGCTCCTGTCCCCATCATTCCATGGAAAACACTCCTACGATCTGTAAACAAGCTTTAAGCGAACTAATAGACATTCTTGAGTTCTATTTTTATTCATTCCTGTGGCTTCTCACCCTATTCTACAGCTGTCCCCTCAGCTTCCAGGACACCCTGACTTTGTGATTCCCCTAGGCTTACTCTGTCTCCGTATCCTGTGCTGGGTCTCCTCTTTTTCAGCCTATCTTTTAATTACTGGTGTTCCTTGGAGTTTAGTTCTTGCATTTCTTCGCTTATCATTTTTAAACTATCACATTATGTGTTTACAATCCTAAATCTTTATCTTTTTTTAAATTTACAAATGTTTTAATTGTACACCTTATTTTTAAAATAGGCAAAACATACATACATATAAAAAGCACAGTTTCAAACTTCTCCCAAGTTTACTTTTCGGTACCTGTGGAAAAAGGAGGTTCTCTCCAGACTTCTCATAGTCGGAAGTATATATATTCAGATTAACTCTTCATTAAGAAAAATATGTAATGAGGCACACTTTCTAGTGGCTGGTATCTTCTTCCAAACCAAAATAAAAAAGAATAAGAGCAGGAACAGCAAAGCTGTCATGCAACATTTTCTCACTTCAATAAATCTTCTACTACCCCTCACCTCTAATCCCAATATTTATACCCATTTACACTGTGAAAACCTGGTAAACTGCTATTTGAAACTCTTCAAAAATCACTTCTCGGGGCCAGGGATTTAGCTCAGTGGTTCTGCCGCCTGCCCTGCAAGCGCAAGGACCCGAGTTCGATCCCCAGTACCAAAAAAAAAAAAAAAAAAAAATCACTTCTTTGAAGTCTTTCCTAACCCAACAAAAGAGTTAATCACTTTCTCTTACACAAAATACCTATAATTTTTACATAAACAATGATTTATCTCTTGCAGTAACAGATTTGATTAACGTTTCAGCTTGGGAGCTTTGAAAACATAAGACACATGTCTTAAAGATCTTTATAGGCCTAAAAATATAGCAATGAGCCTGGCATATAGAATCAATTCTCAAAAATTGATGGTGAATTGAATAAATAATGCAGGACAGTGCAAGAATTCACAAAAGAGGCCGTCACTGACCACTCAGACTTCCCAATCTCCATACTTAACCTCTTTAATTTAGTCTTCAAAAACTGTGGCTTTGATCAGATCTCCTGAGCCTAGCAGCCAAGGTCCTCCATAATTCGGACCAGAGTAACCTTTCCAACTTTATTTCCAATAAGTCTTTCAATATGTAATCTACATATTAACTAGACAGCCTATTCCTATTCATGACTAACTAAACAAATTTCACTTTTGTCTTCTGTAAAACTTTTAAGCTAACATTTAGGGTTCTTAGGACGAGTACAACAGAATTTGTTCTGCCTAACTTAAGCCAAGAAAGACACTTTGTTGGAACAACATGGGGCACCTTGAGGAGGCCTGCAGTCCCAGCCTGGACTGCACCTTGGACCATGCAGGGTTCCGGATTCATAGGGCAGAGGCACCAGGGGCCATAAAGGCCAGGAGTTCGAGAAGATAGACCAGTGGTAAACAGCAGAGAGAGAGCCTCTCCGAGACTAGTTGACAAAAATTGAAGCCCTCTGGGAGAATAAAGAAAGTCTTTGGACTCCAGCAGCTGGTGAGTTGGTTCTCTACAAGAACCCAAACTCGCTTCGGGGGAAGGGTGGCTCAAACCTGCAAAAGAACCTTGCAGAGATCAAACCCGCAGGAAGTCAAGGAGCTCAACTTGGGCCTTGCAGCCAGAAACCAGCATGAATCTCAGTGGACTATAGCTGGCTCGCTGAGACTCATCGACTTCCATCTGTACACTGCTGCCCATGTTTACCAGTGACAGTGGAGGCATGCCCTAAGGGCACCCACTTTTTTTCCTTTCCTTTCCTCTTGTTCATTTCTCTTCTTTCTTCTTCCTCTTTCTGTCCTATTTTTTTTCCTCTTCTCAATTGCTCTTATTATTATTTTCTTTTTGGTACCGGGGATTGAACTCAGGACCTTGCACTTGTGAGGCAGGCGGCAGAACCATTGAGCTAAATCCCTGGCCTCACTCTTATTTTTATAGGAGAGTGAATACAGTTTCTAGTTTTCCTGTTGCTGTTAGGTTGCTCTGTCCTTGTTTTTGTTCCTTCCTTCGCTCTTTTCTTCCTGTATTCACCAGTTTCCCGAAGTTTGCATGGTTTTCCTGAGTCCTCTAGTCCCATTTCTCACCTTTCCCTCTCCTTCTATCTGTCCTACCCCCTCCGCAACTCCTTCTAAGTCTTCATCCCAGAGGGTAAAGTCACCATATTGAAGGGCTTATTTACTCCGAACATATTTCTGATTTGTCCTTGATTTTAATCTAGTTCATGCGGTTAAAGGTGACAGATTAATAATTACAATAATTTGTCATTTTCTAAGATGTTTTTAATGCTATAATTGATGCTGATGTACTACTTGGTCCAAGGTGATGTAACTGTTCTAATCAGTTGTCCTTCCTGGTATACCAAAACGGAAACTGCCTATGGGTCATTCAGACTCAAAACCTAAAGACCAGCTATACCTGGAAGACAACTCTGAGAAGTAACCATTCTCTGAGGGTTCTAAATACCAGCAATAAAGATGCTCACAATAAGCAATATAGAATTATCAACACAGGAATTAAACCAAAACCATCAACAACAAAAAAATAAAAATGAGAAGACACCTAAACAAGTCTCAAACCCAGACTTCCAGCTCATCCAGGCCAAATCCTCAGGGCAGTGAGGTGGAAAAATGCGACAGCCACCTGGACACACTGAACTGATAACATGGTAAGTAACAGAAGAGATGAACGAGGCTCTAGAAAAAAATCAAAGGAGAAATAAGTTCCCAGATGATGACCAAAATGGAAGGGATGCTTAGAGAGTCTAGAACAGAAACCGATGAAAAAAGAGGAGCTCAGGACTACAATAAAAGCCACAAATGACCAGCATAGGAATGAGATGGAAACCATGAATGAATGCCCAGCATAGGAAAGAAATGGAATTCATGAAACAGATTCAAACAAATATCCAGGAGATTAAAAACTACATTGGAAGTATAAGCAGCAGAATGAGTCAATGTAGGGACAGAATATCGGGTATAGAAGACAGGATTGCAATTAGTGGCCATGAAAAGAGAGATTTCTTAAAAATAGCAAGGAACCAGGAGAAATCAATCCAGCAGCTGCTAGATGACCCAAAGAAGAATAACATAAGACTGATCAGAGTCAATGAAAAGGCAAGAGATAGTGCAAATGACATAAAACTGTTCATAGAAGTAATGGCAGAGAACTTCCCAAGCAGAGGAAAAGAATTTGACATACAGATAAGTAAGGCATATAAGACTCCAACTAGCTATAATTTAAAGAAATCTACACCTAGACATACAATAGTCAAGATTCCAGAAATCCAACAGAAGAACAAAATATTGAAAGCAGTTAGAAAAAAACCCAAAAACAATCACATACAAAGGAAAGCACATCAGAATCACAGCAGACTTCTCAACACAAATCCTCAAGTCAAGGAGAGCCTGGAG